GAAATCCCATTCTTCCTTCCTATTTACATGTTGGAGACACCAAGATACTAGAATGAGTGGAGAAAAGGGTCTAATAAGCAGTTCAGCATATTTGTGCTTATTGAACACATCAACCCCACTACTTCCTACACTGAGAGAGCAGGCGATTTGTAGGCACTAGTATATTTTTATCTTATGAGTATATTTAATATAAACTAAAATTTTATTTCTCAGCCAGGCTACTCTTGTCCCTAGATCTGGCAGTCCCCTAGGAAAGTCTGCCCTTGAATTCACTCCAAGGGTGAGGAAGAACAGCTGTATGGGTGCTGGCTGACACCGAGCAGTCTGGAGGTGACCCCAGCAGCCAGAAGCTTACCTACTTGCTACAAAAAGGCCAAACATGAGGGCTGGCACGAGAACCAGGGGAACAGGGCCCCTTCCTGCCAGGATGAGGTGCTGCATTTCCTCCTCCCTGTCTTGGGGCTGTATGAGACTGCTTCTACTTGTAGGAACTGAAAACTCCTAAATTCATAAAAACAATGAGATAACGGCGCTGAGCCCTTGGAAGGAGCCATCTACTACTATGGCTTTCTTTGACAGAAACTGATGCACGCCAGGAAATTTCCTCTATCACCCCTCGCTTGCTTGTTTGAGCTCCTCTTAAGTCACCAGTGAAGGGGTGGCTTTAAAAACAACCAGGTGGATGGGACTGTCAGAGAAGTCTCTTCAGACACTGAGTTATTAGAGGTTATCTTGGCCTATAAGGCCACTGCAGTGCGGGGTGCTGTGGGTACCCCAGTCCTTAATGAGTATCTACAATGCACGGGGTCATATCAAACAGTCACCTCTGTTTTGCTCGCTGTGCGGTAGTGGTGGTGGTGTCCTGGGATATAATGCAGTTGTTCCACCGTGTTGTGCCGTCGGGAGGCGAAAGCCTGGCGCTTGGCAGAGGTTGGGTTCATACCTAAGGTATTGTACAAGTTATTTGAGGCACTAGGATGGGAGTGCATTTTTGTCATCCTGTAGCGATCCAAGACGGGTGTTGATACAAAGACGTCTGTGTGTGACAATGCTCGTGACATAGACTGCTCGGGGTACCCCGACCGCTCCGGGGAGAGCAGGGGGTCTTGGGAGTGGAGGCGCTCTGCGGACAGAAGCTGCTCATCTGAGAGGATCCGTTCATAGGACATGCTAAACTCCTCAGGCATGATCCTCTCAGGAGACAGCACTCTGTCCTGGGACATGGCCCTGATGGGACGGCGAGGCCTGTCCCTGTGGTTGGTCTGTTGAGACATTTTGATGACGTTGATAGGGAGGGTGCCCCGGGCTGCCAGGTCAGGCAGGTGTCTCCTCCTCATGTAGTATTCATCAGCCTCTTTGTCAGCTGTGGGAAAGGAAAGGGAAGAGTTAAAAATGCCAGAGGGTTGTCCCACAGGGTGGAAAGGGGCTATGTACTGCACACAGCCTTGGAGCAGCCTCCTGGTGAGACCAGAGAGACCATCTGCCAGCAGCAGGGCTGGGTATGGCCGTCCATGTCAGGGTGCTGCCTGCCAGAGAGACATCATGGTCCGATGGTGGACAGAGAGAGTTATAACTGCATGCAGGGAGGTCTAAGTCCCTGTACAATGCATTACACCTTCCCATGCCATGACACAACAGACTCCATATGCTGCCAAGTCCAGACCGTAGTATCACATGACTTAGGCGACCAACGAGTTACAGAGAATTTATCAAATGTCACCTTCACAAAACACTTAGAAAGAAAGGACAGGGAGGGTGAGCTGAGACAACTTCCCCATTTGAGGAAACTCTTGTCTTGTTTCAGGCCTCGGATGTGGATGTGCTCTGGAATCCATGAGCAACCTCATCACATTTTTAATGACTCTTTTTGAATATTTGCAGATGTGATCACAGAACAGGTTTGGTGGGAATGGGATGCTCTCTCTGAGACACTGAATCATCTGCCTGTGGTTTCATTTTCCACTTTTCAACACACCTTGGCTGATATAATAGAATTTATCCCATGGAACCTTTCTTGTCCAGTTTTTTTTCTTCTGTGTCTTAACTTATCTCTTTGCTGCTCAGAAACTCAGCACACACCCACACCCACAATCATCTTTTTAGCTTTTAGACAAATGCCTCACACTCAGAGAGGATGTTGGCTACTGCAGAGGTAGCCTGATATAGCACTTTAATCCTACAGCAGCTGGAAGTATCTGATTCAACCAAACTGTCAGTTGAAGAAGCAACCCCATAATTCTTTCAGATTTAGAAAACCAACAACAGAAACACAAAAGATTTCTGGTAATCCCATCTGATGTTCATATGGCTTAAATTGGGGTCCTGGGATTACCTACCTGGAAGGAGAATTAGCCCTTGGGCTTCAAGCCCAGTACAGATTGTGAACTGTCATGAAGTGCCAGTGGCTGCAGAGGTATAAAGCACAGAACATCAGCCCCTCACCAGAAGTAAGTGGAAAAACACAACACAGGCCTCTGTGGGTCACTTTAAAGCTCAACACTGATCATCTACATGAGCCTTCTTTGTAATCTCTTTTTCTGAGAAGTCTTCTTGCTGTCTCCAAAAGTATCTCACATCCTTTCTGGTTCATCAGTGACCTCAGAAGCCCCCAGTGAGACCCATCCCAGACACCTAGCAGGCAGCCATCCTGTCCTGGAGAAGACAGCACAACAGCCACTGATGTGCAGGAAGGGGATTCCTCAAGCAAAGGTAAAACAGATTTCTTCACCTTCCAGAGAAAACAAAGTTTCTTGCAAAGCAACCTTATGGGAACAGCTGGGCAAAGAGACTACTGATTTGGGAACGCACATGCATGGCCCAATATGCTCTTTAACTACTAGTCTTGAGCCATGTGTTGCTGGGAAAAGAAGCATCTCAAACTCATCCTGGCCAGCTCCTGGGACCTGTCATAAAATTCCTTTGGAGAGTCTTTTAAAGACATCTGTCTTTTTTTAAGACACATCTGCACATCTTTTAAATCCTGACAGGGATGGTGACTTCATGACTTCCCTGAGCAGCCTGGGACAGGTCTCAACAACCCTTTCAGGGAAGAAGTTTTCTCTCATGTCCAACCTAAACCTTACCTGATGCAACTTGAGGATATTTCCTCTTGTTCTGTCACTTGTTCCTTGGGAGAAGAGACCAACCACCACCTGGCTCCAACTTCCTGTCTGGGAGTTGTTGAGAGCCAGAAGATCATTTCTGAACCCAGTCCTGCTGGCAACGCTAGTGTTGACACAAGCCAGGATGCCATTGGCCTTCTTGGCCACCTGGGCACACGCTGGCTCATCTTCAATCAGCTATTCAGCAGCAAGTGATGTAAGATAGGAAAGTATCCCATGGAGGAAGAGGGAAAATGTCACACGTATGGAGGTTCTAAGGATGTTTGAGTGATAAAAAGAGCAAGAGTCTGCTGCAAGACAGTCTGGGCAATCAGAAGGCAGGTGAGACAGATGATCCCATTTCCAATGATTAGGGTTTCTGTAGGCATTCAACAGATCTAATATTTAAAAATGGTGTGGAAATTTCCTGTTTCCTCTGACATAGCCTTAAGTCTATAGGTTTTGTGCACCACGCAATCTGAGAGATGAGGACAATTCATGGGTGTGCCATGAGCAGTGTGCTTCCAGAGGAAATGTCAATGCCTTATGATATGAAATTGGTGCTGACAATATCCTAGAAGTTTGCTCACAAGACAACAGTTACACATTGATGATTTAAGGTATTCAGCCAAACCCTGGAGTGCTGTAAGCGTCCTGTGCTGGATGATCTCACTCACTAATTTCCTCATCTCCTCTCCCCATATAAACAATGCTCTCTTCAATGTCCCCAAGACCCTGCTCCTCATGCTCTTGCAAATGGTCCATATAACCCAGAGGACTTGTGAGGAGGGTGGTTGATGCCTTTGTCTCCACATCCAAAAGTACAAGCTGAGAATGTGTGTGTGTTGAATTGCACAGCCTGTTGGCACCACCATTGCTGCCAACCTCTTCTTTACACCACTGAGGTATAGTACCCAGAGCTCTCCTGTACTGGCACGCTTGCTGCTGCTGAGACTTGCTATCCAGAGAATATATTGTAGGAATGAGTAAATTTTGCAATCAAAAATTTCTTGGAAGAGTATCTCACTGTAAATGTCAGACAGCAGCTCCCCTGGCCTAAAACTCTTGTGCCTTTAAAATTGCCTTCTAGGAAGCCTGAGAAGGACTGAGACAATTCCATACAGCCACAGTATTTTCAGACATTTTTATTCCATACTGTGGCCATAGACAGACTTGGACACAGTGTGCACAGGCATGAGGCTGGGTGCAGACCAGGAGCGATGCAATTAGCGTGCTGGCACTTGGCCTCTGCTCTGGATGAGAGAAGTTCCACTGGATTTGCCCAAATGACTCTAAATAGATGTAATTAAAGCAGAGAACATCCCAAATGGAGATGAACTTGGATGCTTACACCTGGCTGTGGCAACTGCTAGCAGGAGCTAAAGCAGCTTATATGAGGTTTGCAGTGGTCAAAGAGGCAGCAGAATCACATGTAGATGTTTGCAGAGCTATTCCAGGAACATTTTCAGAGGTAGACCAACTTCACATCTCCATCTCAAAGGAATCGATGCCAAAATGGCAGTTTCCCTGTGGACAACAAGCTGGTTTAAGCAGGCCCCAGACAAACATTTAACAGGCTGTTGCCTCTGAAAGGTGGTGTCAGCTGACAAGCGTTGCAGAACCAGTCCTGGAGAACGTAGCTCAAGGAGAGGCCAAGCGTGCTGCACCAGACGTGTGTCTGTGCCAAGGGAGAAGCTCAGCACAGCTCCGTAACCGCAGCGTTTCTGCACCCGGGGAAAGCCAGAAAACAAATACAGCTCCAGGCTTTTGAGACTGGAGGCACCAGGCTCTTCCCTCAGTGGGCAGGGCTGGGAACTGTAGACAGCTGGTTGCATAGTTTGTTAAAATCCAAATGTTGACAGGACCTGAAACCATCCGGTGTGATCCATCTCATCCTCTTTGCACCAGCAAGTTCCCAGGGATAGTGAGATTCTGATACTGCTGTACCCTATCTTTTCATTGATGCTCATATGATAACTGGCATTTGTAATTGTTCAATATAGAAGTTCTTGGGCAGAAACTGTCTTTCACTATCTCTCTCTGCTAACTGTGAGAAAAATAAGTGACCTTTAGCTGTCTGGCAAGCCTGAAGAAACCCAGACAAAAAGCTGAAACATGATTAAAAAAGTAATAACTTTTGTTTTACTTGAATAGAAGCATTATGTTTGTTCATGAGCATTTCACAATAGTCTTTTTTTTTTTTTCTTAGCCACGGCAGGGAATTCAGTAGAAACAATACGAAAATATGAAAAATAACAACCCAAATAATTCATTTGCAAAGCCCAACATTTAGCTATTACTTTTTCCATATTTTGTATTCCCTTCATCTGGAATAGGAAAATGGCATCACTGGCTTTTTACGAGAGAAGATCTGGGAGCTGGGTTCCTATTTTCTTTTGGCTTGGAAGAAGATTAGCTATAAGGAAGTGACTCAGTGATTCTAGAGGTGCTGAGCAAGCCCAGTGGGAGCATGGAGTGCTTAGCCCTTTTAGAGCTGAAACTGCTTATTTAGTTACTCAAACATACAATGTGAGGTTTGTCACATACAATCTGACATTTGTCAGATGATTTTTCAGAGGATTAACTTGGTCCCTTGCAAAGATGACTGAACTATATCTAGAACTGCCATTGATGGGTAAGTAGCTGGTATTTCCATTGCATTGTGCAGAGGTGCCTTCCTAGGGTTGAAGCTGCTGAAAACTTAAGGGGGTAAATGAACCCCACTCTAGCTAATGGCCAAAGACATCTAATGTTCTTAGATTTGTGTTGACTGAATGGGGACAGGGACACTACCTGTCCAGAGCATCAGAAGAACCTCAAGAGAAGGACACTGACTATGCTCAGCACATTCTCAAGGACATTTAACCTCGGCACCTTAACACTAGCCTATTTTTGTAATTTTAGACAACTATCTAGGAAATGCAGTGCTAGAGTTCAATACCTAGTCGCTTCTGCTGTGATCTACTGAGGGCCGTGTTGGACAGGTAGGGATCTGTCCTTTCTTCAACTGCTGGGCAAAATTTTCCATGACTGATGAGTCCAACTGCTAAGAGACCATTTGTTAACGTGTTGCTCAGTGCCTCAATGGCATTGCTTGGTGTGAGTGAGTTTATGCTCAGTGTGAGTCAGGTATTGTAGGAGTAGGAAGAGGAGACACACATTTCCAGCTGTTGGCTGTGGATGTGGTGGGAGATTCAGTTAACATTCATTGGTGGTATTTTTTTAATGTTTTAGTGAGATTCCTCAATAACTTTAACATGGAGCTCAAGGAGATTTCACTGAGCATCTCTGCACAATATGTAAAGCAATAAATGGATCACAGGCTAGAAGTCCTGACCATCCCCTGTGTCATAACAGGAGCAGCTATTGCTGCTGCTTCTGGTGGGAACGTCTCTAACATGTTCTCAATGATGGCAGAGCAGAGACCTCCCAGACTCTGAATAAGGAGTATGCATCCCAGGTAATCCCAAGCACTGCAAATCAATTACAAAAGAAGCAGCAGTATGCAGGGCTATTCAGAGGTTATGTTTTTTTGAGCCGAGAAATGAAAATAAATCATTGCCTCAAAACAGGGACATTTTAAAGCAGCAATATTACAATGCTGTGATTTCAAGGGTTTTTCAATATCAGATTTTATCATCAAGGCTGCTCAAGGACATGGGCACTTCATCACTGGAATGAAGCAAGGGTAAAATGGTTATGGTTGGGAGTGTGAGATCCAGAAGTTACCAAAGCTTATGGCAGAAGCAGAGTTGTGCACGTGGCACACTGAACAGGGAAGATGGCCAGGCTCCAATCACAAGGTACCTCCTCTCTGTTCTCTGACAATTAAGCACTTGCTTACTTTTAAGCACATCAAATGTATATGCCTTAATGTTAAGCATGTACATAAGTCCCATCTTGCAGTGCCAAGGAGTGGGCTGAGATTTTTATGTGCTACATTTCCATTCAATTTTCTCTTCTGAAAAGTCTTCCACAGAGCTTTCTTATGGATAGTCAAAGGGCTTCCCTGACACTTAATTTTGTGTGTGTCACTTAGCTGGCTAAATTGGGAATGCAGATTCTACATAGGCTAAGGAAAGCAGGATCTGCTCCTCATCCTTACCTACCTTCAGTGAAGCTATTGCAAATATAAACACATAAGTTATTTCTCTGAATTAAGTGGTCTGAATACATGGCTTCACCCAGAAAATGCTCATGGAAACACACATACTCTGAACCTACTGTCAGTCTGGAGAGAGCATTAGTCCACATAAACACTGCTTATTTCAGAATCCAACCAAAGCTGAAGCATTTGCCATCAGCAAAGGTGATGGGCTGGAGGACTGTGGGGAAGCTGGCAGAGCACTGCAACACATAAAACAGCAAGAACAGGGCAGTGAGCAACATGCTGAAATCTCAGAGACACTCAATGGATCAGTGCATGATGCAGGTCAGGACCGAATCCAGACACACAGCCCATGAAACATGGCAGATCACAGCACTGCTCAAGGCAGGCAGATGTGCTTCTACTGAAAAAGATGCTCCAAACCAGTTCAGCTGTTGGCCTAGGCTTGCCGCCTGGTTCCAGCTGCCCCCATGGGTAGGGAGATATCTGCTGTGGATGCACTGAGGTGAGCTCAGCCCATCTGAGGAGGCAGGATGGCTCATCTCCATTCCAGCAGAAAGAAAAGGGATTCTTGGATGACTCTATCAGGAGCAGGTACAAGATGAAGTAGTGGGAGGCAGCACAGCAAGGAGGTCAGTAAGCAAATAACCACATGTGCACTCACAGTAATGAAGTGACTCTTTTTCTATACTCTACCTTGATGGGAAGTGACAGCCAAGAGAATCATTACCGCACATGCCAACTTGGGCAGTACAATGACAGAGGGAAGAAGGTTATTGTCTTAAAATTGTGCCTACTCTGGCTTAGAAGCGAATGGGATACAAAGAAAATGAAATGATCTGACACCTACTTAGCCTCTTCAGAGAAGAATATTTACTTGGGTTTGTCTTGACGGCAGACTCATAGGATGGTGGGAGGTGAGAGAGGTTCTGGAAGGACCGGGAGAAGGACAGATCATAGGGTTCCGTGGCAGAAGTGAGGATGTTGTTCATTCGAGGCTTGTCTGCAAAAAAAAGAAAAGAAACAACAAAGAAAGGCATGTTTACAGCGTGCATCAAACGAAGCTGAGAGAGGCAAATCATTCCCACAGACTCTAGCAGGGAGAAGAGCTGTATCAGAGCCAGCCTCAGTGACAAGCTGTTGGGCATAATTCAAACTGGCATCAGGAGATCGGTGAAAAATGGATCCTGTGGTGTTGTTTCCTGGTCCACAGCCATTATGGAGAGAAGCAAACTGCTACCTCGAAAGCGCCTGGACCCACCAGCTGTCCTCACAGCAGGATGGTGGACTGTTAGCCACCTCACTTACCATGGAGGGCTGTGTCATGGTGCTGTGGACTGTCCCCACTGCAGCCTGCATGAGTTCAGGCAGCACCACCTACCCTTACCCCAGCAAGCTGTGCTTTTCCCACCCCCACAGACGTGGGAACGACTCTATGGGGTTATTTTAGCTGGGGATGAAAATCAAATTGCTTCCTCATTTGGAATCTGGAGACTTCTGGGCAGAGCCCATCCATGACCCCAGGGGTTCTGGTAGGCTCTAGACAAATCCATGCTTCCTCTGAACACAGGAATAGTTGAAGCAGAGCTGTGCGGTTCACATCTGGGTCTAGTCAGAAGACAAGGCAAGGTTTGGAGAGTTTTCTGAGGTAGGAAAGGTGTTGCCATCCCTGAGGGGTAGAGGATGCCCCTCTACTTATTTTCATTTTCTTGGTGATTGAAGGAGTCCCCAGCTACTGTCAAAATGCCCACTGTCAACACTGAGGGCACTGTCAACAGTGATTGGCACTGAGCCTAGAGGTTAAAATTCAAGTCCAGACAATCTGCAGAGTTATGAAATCATGGTCCTTTGCTGCAAGCTGGATTTCAAAATTCTGGAAATGGTCTTTCATCACCTCAGCCAAGGGACAGGGACCTACTGAATTGCATTTAGAACTGCCAGGTGTTCAGATATTAAAATAGGCATATACAAGAGTAATAAAAATAGCAGGAGTTTCAGTTATTAGAAGCAAAGCTTGAACAGACTACAGTGAGCTCTGTGGGAGCTTGCAGCAGGGCTGGGGTTGCATTAGCTGAGTCAAAATCCGATGGGATACACCCACAGGTACTGAGAGAGCTAGCAGATGAGATTGCTAAACCCCTCTCTATTATATTCCAAAAGTCATGGCAGTCTGGTGAAGTCCCCACTGACTGGAAAAGGGGAAACATAACCCCCATTTTCAAAAAGGGTAAGAAGGAAGAACCAGGGAACTATAGGCCAGTCAGTCTCACCTCTGTGCCCAGTAAGGTCATGGAGCAGATCCTCCTGGAGGCACTGCTGAGACAGAAGGCTAGTGAAGAGGTGATGGGCACAGTCAGCATGGCTTCACCTAGGGCAAATCATGCCTGACAAACCTGG